TCTACAACAACGGTCACGGGAAGCAATTGTGCGCATCCCGGGATGTGATCGTGTGCAAGAATTCCGAGGGAGTCGAGGAGAGGATGTCCATCTTCGTGATAGGCAAGGATCTTGGCAATGTGGCATATTCGTCCTGGATCAAGAGTGTGCTCGACCAAGGAACGATGTATGAACTCCTGGGACAAACCACGAACGAGGAATCCTTGGGAGACGTCGTCGAGATGGTGTTGGGATTCTTTGAGGTGATGTCGTACTTCCAGCACGAACTGCCACTGTGGAAGGATGCATGGAAGATCAAGAGGGAGTTCGAGCAGTCAATAGTGCGACACCTCGCTGGGAACGTGACCCACACGACGGGCCAGAACAGAAAGCGGAACAGACCGTCCGCACAGCTCGGCGTGCCCACGAAGGAGGTGCTTGACATCATGAACAAGGTCAAGCCCAGACATCCACGATCCCTGATCACCGAGCCCTCTGCACAAGGTTCCAAGAGAAAGGCCACGGAGGGCGAAGATGAGGGTCTTGGTCAAGCACCAGACCCGAGTCGAAGTTCTCAAACCAATGCTGAGAAGGAAGACAAGAAGCAGCGAGTGATCGACGGGCGGAGAGCGGCACTAGGATTCCTGGAGTCAATGGAGAAGTGCATGGGAGATATGGGGATCTGCAAGAAGTGCGCGAACCTGGCCCACGACGGCGACTGCAAGGACATTGAGGAGGCTGCTGGAAATGAGAAGGCGATGAAGGTGCTCCGTGAGCTACTCAGCAGTGACCCTGTTTCATCTGATGAAGACATGGGGGATACGGAGGAACCGTCCTCATCAACGTCCAAGGAAAGAAAGAAAGGGGGACAAGCAGGGAAAGAAACAATTGAGATGTACAGCTACACTATTAATTTGGTGGAGATGGCTGACACGGCTGAGGGAGGAGAGCTACAATGTGGTGGCGTCGACCTCACCTACAACCCGTGCGGGGACAACAGGACATTCAAGAAGACGCTTGAGATGGGATGCGACACCATCCCGTGCTACATCCCGAAGTATGGCGATGTGAGTGATGTGCACTTGCCATGGGCGTATGCGTCCATCGTTGACCCCAAATACTTTCCCAAAGGTGCAATCCTTGAGCAAGTGGACGTGATGCAACTTGGCAAGAGTGTCAACTTCTGCATTGCTCCTTTCGACGGTGCTCCACTATGCAGGATTGGTGATGATCGCTCGGTATTTACTACAAGGGACCAAGCAAACCAGCTATCTCACGACCTATGCAGAGTCCTTCGACACAAGATCGGCAATTGCCGAGGAAGTGCTTTCAGGTGCGACGAGGGTGGATGGGTCGACATTGATGCTGTCATTGACGACCGGAACAACGACATATTCCCACCATACACCACGAGAGCGAAACGATACATGGGCATCATGGAGGTGATCAAGTGGCAGGAATCCGGAAGCAGAAAATCGAGATTCCAGGTTTTGGCAGCAAGGTTTCCGAGCATCATGAACCCGAACGACACGAGGGCAGCCAGGGAGGAAATGACCGAAGCTGGCGTGGATCGGGACGACATCGACAGGATGTTCAACAGATGCGATGGATGGTACAGACCTTGGTGCATCCGAGTCACAACCGGTCACAGTGATTTTGGATTCATGAGCTCATCCGCACTGGCGAATAGGTATTCCGCAAGAATGGGTGATTCTCTCGGAGGAGCATTCCATGTGACGTATGTGGAAAACCTGCCAAGCATCGTACGCTGTGGGTTAGTCCCCGGCGGAATCGATGGCGGCAACAGGCTAGCACTGCACTTCGGGGCGTTTGCTCCATGGGATGAGATGAACGTGGCGACGAAGACAACGCTACGGAACGTGAGGAGAGGGGATCCGATTGCGATCATCTATATTCCCAGTGCAACCCTCGCGCGGTATGGGGCTGGAGTCGCGGCTAATGGGACTTTCATGGTCTTTGACGTGATCCCGTTCTATGAGGTCAAGTCCATTTGGATTGGCAAAAGCAACGGAGGGAAGCGCCTGGAGTACGCTGACATCAAGAGGGCGTACTCGAAGTGTGTGGAGAACGAGATCTGCCCTGGCTTTGTCAACTCTTCCCAAGAGTCGGCTGCGATGTTCCTCCAGAACGTCGCAAAGATCAGCGAGAGGATGCCGGAGACTGAGACAGGTGCCGATAATCTGCACTACATCGTTGACATGGTTAATCGTGCCTGCGAACTCTATCGAATCAACAAGATGGAAGAGTTCAATGCACAGGTCAACGAGGTCCGGGACGAAATCAGCAAAGTCGTCATCCTGAATGACGAGACATGGGAAGGACTGAGGTGCCGGATATGTCCATCATGTGCGACCGCGATCCCCACCTGCTTCTGCTTATGCCTGGAGTGCGAGGCACAACTGATCTCCATCGGAAGATACTACATTCACATCAAATCCGATGACGAGGAGGACAACCAAAACCCCAACGTCTCTGGAGATGCCAGGCGTGCACAGGAAGAAGCTAACCACGATGCGGCAGCACAGGAGGATGAAGACGAAGCGGAGGAAGTTCCGGGAGAAGATGACGACATGGACACGCAAGGATATACATCCGGCTATGCGTCAGAAGAAGAAGACAGCGGTTGGCATTACCGCGACACCGATCTGGCGTCACGGGACATTATAAGTTCCCAACGGATGGCGATCTGCCTTGACGAGCCGCGTGAGGCTCAGTACATGGCAGGATTTATCGCACTCCAGATGTCCAAGATGTGGGGGATGTTCGAGGGTGGTGAGGAGAGAACGATGAATGCCAAGCTCGAGGGGAGAGAGGGCTGCCCTTACCACAATGATTTCAAGAGGTACCCCAACATCACTGAGCACGATCAGGAAGGTATACTATTGCCATCAACAATAACGAAGATTTCTCAGTCGGAGAATGTTCGGACAAGAGCCTTCCGATCGGTTGAGGAGCGTGACGAATATATTCGTATGATGGTGTGCAAATGCGAGGGACTTTACACATTCTACAAGCTGTGGATTGCAGCGAGAATCCTCGATGTCACCAAGGAAGAAATGAAGCTCCTGGTCAAGGACCGAGTGCACCCGGTGGGTGATATTATTTTCAGATGCTTTGCACTAGCTTTCAATTGTAAATATATATCATTCGTGAGGGATGGCCTGAACCTTGGCAAACATGGTTACACGGTCAACGTGAGCGCCATCATCTCGGCCGTCGACCCGAACAAATGCGACACACCCCTGCTGGATTGGTGCCTTCGGAAAGGGCACTGGTTGCCAGAGGACTACAACAAGAAGTGTGTCCGGGCACGAGAAGCCCAGAAGAACTTGGACGAGGAGTTCCGTCGACGCACTCACAGACTGTCCATTGGGGACCGGTATGCGTAGTGAAGATGCTGATTGCGGCACGATGTGGGTTAGTCCCCATCTGTTGCTTGCGTCTCATCAACACCATTGCGATGGAACGACTTTACATTATGATATGATTTCATATATCCAAGTTGAATGGATGTGTACATGGTTACATATTCCGATGACTATGACGCTCTGGATATTCATGGATGGAACTATTACCTTATAGATGATATCTTTTCATTATTTATGCATTGTCCATGGTATCTGGAATGGCTATGATTTGCATTGATTACTCACCGATGTTTCTTTGCCGGAAATATGCAGACCGATTACAAGCGGGCGCCTCTGGTGGACTTTTGCGGCCAACCCATTTATGGATGACAGCTGCGCGATGCGCAAATGCGGCAGCTGGAATGTTCACTGGCGGTCAAGTGACGTGGACAGTGTATTATATACACCTGCATATGGATGTGTGCTTCGATTGGAGGATGAATGTTTCACTTTTCGTACAATCGAACCCGGCATGTTTCACAGCGAATGAACGGTGTAGTGATAGCAAGTAAAAGAATGCACGACACGATTTCGTAGTTGAAGCCGTGGCCAGTGGAACGTTTTGTGGTGTTTGGACCGCATGATGAACAATGCGACCCAAATGGGGGATGTTAAAACCCTCTAGGCCCCGTGCCGAAATTGGGTAGCTGTTCTGAGGTCCTTGTTGGTGTTGCTTCCCAAGTTCCATTGATCGCCATTTGGCTCAAGACACAATTGAGGTTCAAGATCTGATGTGTGACTGCATACATACGTGATCGGCATTGAGAGCGAAAACACTTCGCTTGCGCTGCATTTGTCAGGACTACTGTTGTAACTATCATTCCTTCTCCCTTACAACGTTTACACGGGTTCGGCTATAACGGCATCGTCCGTATACACCTTTCTACGTGGTTGGTATTACAGCTTGAGGGTTCGGTGCATAGCGTCCCACGGGACGTCACCTTGCCGTCTCTTGACAGCAAGCACCATAGCACGGCACATTTTTGTTTGCCAGAACTCACTTTGCCGGTTGCTGAGCACGGCGCCCTCAAGCATAGAGGCGTCCACTCAGCAGGAGAGAAGTTTCAAGAAAAGGAGCCCCAAGCAATAGAACAGGTCCCAGGTAGCGTACGGCTAATAACCGTAAGGTCTGCGGTTCGCGCCCGCATAGAACCACCACGACACGTGCACGCCTGGACTAGAAATCCATTGGGCTCTGCCCGCAGGGGTTCGAACCCCCTCGGTGTCGCTTGCTGCGCAAGAGCGCGCGGTTTGCGGCGCAAGCCGATGCAAGTCCGGCCACCCGGAATCGAACCAGGGACCATCTGATAGCTGCAAAGGTCGTAGTTGGTTCGGGGAGGGCGTGTGGCGAAAGGCCCAAATTCCCCACTCCAATCCTACCTGAAACACACACTTTCTGCATGCACCTTCCCTCCCAGCACAGATAACATAGAGCCCAACCAGACGTGCCTGGTTTGGACCAATTCCCTTTGATGGCCATGAAGGCAAAGAAACCGTAGCAGAAATTTGACGCTTCTGTCTGCTTGGTGTTTACCTGGTAAGGATGTGATTGTTTGTTTGGGTGCTCAAGCTCATGGAAGGTAGGAAGACCAGATGCCAGATGTTCTGGCAGTTTGGAATCCATTGCCTGCAGTGGTGTTCATGCGAGAGGTTGGGCAACCCATGGTACTAGATGAATTGATGAGCTGATGTGTCAAACGCCCCCCGATAGAATCTGGAGAAGGAGGGTTGCCGAAAGAACTGCGGCGTGATAGCTTGTGCAAGATGAGGTGCCTCCAAGAAGTGTACTGCAAGCCTAAGAGGAGCTGCTACCCGCGCAATATTTGGAGCTGCCGGATGTGAAGCTAACGCCCTACTTGGCGGTATGGGTGGTTCGGACCAAACGCGAAGGTGCCCGCCTCCCTCTCCAAACCACCAACTCAAAACCAGCAATTCTAGCAAAGCTTTCCAAGTCGTCAACGGGAAGCCAAAAGGAAACCAATCCGTTTATTGGGTCCAACTCTTGCAAGGCGAGATGTCGTGGCTTCGCCCCATGCCTGTGGAAAATTGGGTCCTTGATTGCCACTTTCTGTGAGTTGCTAAGGACAACCGGGACGAACTGTTCAGTCATCGTGGCGGAAATCCTACTTTAGTATCACAGGAAAGTGTTTTTTCCAACAGCCACGTGGGGAATCCTGCAAAAGATGAACCATAAGGAGAACGCAACGCAGTTGTCAGTGGCCTATATACATATATATATATATATTTATATATATATATATATTCCTTAGTGGGCCCGGTTGCGCAGTCTTACCAAGCGACAAACAAAAGTTGTGTACCATGTTTCTCCTTGAGGCGCGGAGAGAGGCGAAGCCTTCACAAACGACATCACGGCCTTCCACGTGCGCCACCTGGCTGCAAGCGGAAAGTGGCGGGTCACCAAGGGCGGGCACGCTCAGGGTGACGCCCTGGTTGACTGGGGGTTGTTGTTTGTTGTTTTTTGTGTTTGGTCAGGGGGGTGGGGTTATCAAAGTTATTCGGGGAGCTGATGCCATTCAAGCCAATCTTTGAAGAAGAATGAGTCTCTCTCTTTTTTTCCCCGGGGTTTTATGAGCGGGACATGGCCAGTTGGAACACCTAATTCCTAGCTTCCATGTGCTTATGGCAACCGTGGGTCCCCGGGTTTGGACACCCAAACCCACACAACGCTTGCCCAAACTAAATCACAAGGTTTCTTGTTTTGCAACTGTCTTAGACCTCGCAGAGGATTTCATAGTGATGGGCCACAGTCAATGTTAACCTTTATCTACCGCAGCGCAGGAACGGGGATGATGTTGAGTGTGCTCACCAAATTGCCGCTAGAAAATGTAGGCTGTCCATCAGATTCATGTAGGACACCTGCTAAGTATTGACGGCTCATCTCACTTCCCAGGTCTCTGGATTTGGTGGCCCAAGATGGGGGGTCTCCGCAGCCTGGTCAAACCTGGTTGTTTTCCTTAGGATTTCCTCTACCCACTGTCCAAGGGTCCCCAATATAGATTCGGATGGATGGTCAGGACCGGATTTTGTTGCCAAGCAAGGCGGGCGGTATGCCTTCCGGGCGGCTGGACATCATGGATCGAATTTGATGCTAGATTCTTAGATGACAGGAGAGGCAAGGCCACAAAGAATGGACGATGTGGTTTTCCGTATCTTTTCCAAACCCCTCATTCAACACCAAAACAAATGCTTCAAGCGGGCCTTCAAAATTGAAAAGCCACGGATTTAGGACGCCCTGCACCTTTTGGATGCATTTTGGATGCATCACCCGTTGGCAACCCTGGTCCCTTGTTACTCACTCACCGTTCCACCGGACCAGGTGATCTTATCACAATTGCCCAGCAAAAGCGAGGATTCTGGGGGCCGAGCTCTGTACGATGAAGGAGCACTGTTTGAGGAGGGGCTTGATGTTATTGTTTGGGAACATTTTTGTTTGTGCTGCAGCCGCTCATGTCCAGGATTGAATTCCGAGAAACCCGCAGGCCCGCAGGTTCATGCACGTCTATGCGCATTGGTCTTGTAGGCCGCTTCGGCCCGAGGACTGGAGTGCAAGATCCTGCCGGACTTGGCGGAGGCCACGCGGAGGGTGACCTACATCGACAAGGCCAACAATGGCCAGGCCGGGTTTGGGAAGCGGGCATCCGTTGCACGGGTGGAAGTCTCGGTTGACGCAAGCGGGGCTTGACCGAAATAGCCAAATGGCAAGGCACCTTCGAACCTGCACACTACTAACCCAAACCACCAAGTCTTGGTTGCTCTTTGGCTCAACCATAGCTACAACTTATTGTTCCCCATGTTTGGATTCCGTGTCAGCACCCATCCAAGACGGTCGCAGATTTTGGGACCCATTCTTGGCTGACACGATTCGGGTTAATGCTTGGCCAAGGCGGGCATCAAATACTCATGATTCACACGCCACCCAGCTTTTCCTTCAGCGAGCTTCGCTACAAAATGCCAACTGCTGGAGGTTCGTTTGTTCCGCGGCACACTGAAACGGCCCGCTGATAAAAACTGGTATCTCTTTGCTTTGTGAAGCACCTTTTTGTTTTGCCTCAGCATTTTTGCACGTCGCACCGGGTAATTCCTGATTCCAGGTAGGCACTTCCACCCTTGCGTACATTTTTAATTTTTTTTAAACGCGAGGTCAGAGACCCATCCCGTTCGACACATACCATCACTGTTTTTGCTGGATATTCCCTCGAAAGGCCTTTCATATTTCAATGGCCAGCCCAAGATGAGCATCGCGCCGGAACTAGTCACTTCCGAATCATTTCCCTTAAAGCAAGCACGGGGCACTACACGCCCCAAATTTCCATGTTGTTGGGAGCGCAATAGGTAATGACTGCAGTTCACTTGTATGTTTCTTGGCGGATTAGGGTGTGCCAGGGTTTCTGACAGATTCTCATTTAGCCGTCATCAGTCTTGAGCTCATGGCAGAAAAAGGGCGAAAGCTCCCCCCGCGTCCATCACTAGCAAGGTAGGGTGATGTGTTCTTCGAAGTTTGTGGGCAGACAACGTTTTGATCCTGAAGCGTGTCAATTGAACAGTCCCAACCAAGCCTGAAACTTGGCCATTTCAGGGATCTACGACTGGCTTGATTGGGGGTTAGAGCAAGGCTTCCAATCAACCTTTCCAGCCTGGGTGGAACCAGTTCTCAATGAGTGTTGGGCTGCTCTCAATTGCAGAATGAACTGTTTCCTTGCTTGACTCACGTTGACAGCCAAGGGTCCATTTTAACGGTGCTTTCATCGGTGCCAATGAGAGGAGCCTGCAAAATTTCTCACCATTGCTCATCTGGAACAGCCATTGTTTGACTACTCTGGGCACGGGATAGGGTTAAACAAGGCTCATGCTTTCAGTTCACACTGAGCATGATTCGCAATGGCTGGCCAGAATGACCTCAAGGTCACACCTTTGTGTTTTGAGTTGCAAGTCCTTCACCGCCCTAGCATTTTGTCAGTTCAGTGTTACCAGTCCCTTACTCTCGTCATCATGCCTTCCGCTGTGGAGAATGCGGCCCTGCTGTTTGGGGGAGCCGTTGCCGGCACGGCCCTGACCACCGCCTTCGTGGCGCCTGGGCCTGTGGCGCAGGAGGCCAAGACCGGGCTCCGCGCATCTGGCTACTCCCGATCGCAGTCCTCCTCCGGCATGGGAACCATGGCGGGCATGGGTGCCATTGCAGGCCTGGCGGCGGCCGGGGTGGCAGGCAAGCGCGTGGGCAAGAACCGCACCTCCATGCAGGCGGTGGGCGTGGGCATCAACGGCTTTGGCCGCATCGGGCGTCAGGTGGCGCGCATTGCCATGAAGGACCCCGAGACGGAGCTGAAGCTGATCAACGCCAGCTACGACGCAGACTACTTGGCGTACATGATGAGATTTTGTCCAGACCGAGCATGCCTTTTCGTGTTTGGAACTCGTGGTATCTTGTGGTCGTGCAGTCCCATGAATTTCTTGTTGGCCAGCTTTTTTGCACTAGGGTGTTGAGACAGCAGCACCCAGGAAATATGACACCATCCACGGCAAGTATGACGGCACTGTGGAGGTGGATGGGGACTCCTTGGTGGTGGATGGCCAGAAGATTGCGCTGTCCCACACCCGCGACCCCGCGGAGATCCCCTTCGGTGAGCATGGCGCCGAGTACGTTTGCGAGTCCACGGGAGTGTTCCTGACCACCGATAAGGTTCAGGGTCACCTGAAGGCTGGTGCCAAGAAGGTGATCTTCTCCGCCCCAGCCAAGGATGATTCGCACACCATCGTCATGGGCGTGAACCAGGACACCTATGACCCCTCCATGGAGTGCGTGTCCTGCGCCTCTTGCACCACCAATGGCCTGGCACCAGCAGTGCGGGTGCTGAATGAGAAGTGGGGCATCAAGCGAGGCCTCATGACCACCTGCCACGCCATGACTGCCTCCCAGCCAACTGTGGACGGCACCTCCAAGAAGGACTGGCGCGGTGGCCGCGCGGGCCCTGGCAACATCATCCCCTCCTCCACTGGAGCGGCCAAGGCTGTGGCGAAGGTGATCCCTGACGTGAAAGGCAAGCTCACTGGCATGGCTCTCCGAGTCCCAACCATCGACGTCTCCGTCGTCGATCTTACGGTCGAGTTGGAGAAAGAAA